ACTGGGGCTGCCCTACTCAGCCATCTTTAAAACTGAAATCTTGCCTTTTGCAAAGGCGTGGATGGAGCTAACATGTATTATGCTAAGTGAAATAAGTCAATCAGAAAAAGTAAATTATCATATGATCTCACTCATATGTGGAATTTAAGAAACAGAGGATCATAGGGGAAGAGAGGAAAAAAGTCAAGTAAGATGAAATCAGAGTGACAAACCATATGAGACTCGTAGTCATAGGAACCAGACTGAGGGTCACTGGAGAGTTGAGGGGTTGGGTGGATGAGGTAACTGGGTGATGGACATTAAGGAGGGCATATGATGTAATGAGCACTGGGAATTATATATGATTGATGAATCACTGACCTCTACCTTTTAAACCAATAATATATGTTAATTAATTTAAATTAAAAATATGTTAAGAAAAACCGATAAAAGTATTAGAAGAAAGCATAAAGGAAAAATCTACATCACTTTAGATTTGCATTGGTTTCTTGAGTATCACACCGAAAGCACAGGTGACAGAAAAAAATATATACTTATCATAATTAAAATTTTTTATGTATCAAAAGATAGTATCAGAGTCATAAGACAACCTACTCAATAGGAGAAAATATTTGCAAATCACTTAATAGGTAAGGGATTAATACTTAGAATATATAAAGAACTCCAAAAACTTGACAACTAAAAAAAAAAATCCAATGCAAAAATATGTGCTGCCGAAGTGAGCACTGACAAAAATATTTGAATAGACATTTATTTCTTCAGAGAAGATATACAAATGGCCAATAAGCCCATGAAAAGATGTTCAGTATCATTAGTCATTAGAGAAACACTAATCAAAAACCACAAAGAGATGCCTATTCACACCTACTAGGATGGTATAATGGTTTCTCCTTAAAATTATATGTTGAAGTCTTAACCGTCAGTGTGACTATAGTTGGAGATAGCTTTTAAGGAGATGCATTAAAGTTAAATGAAGTCATAAAAATGGGGCCTAATTTAATAGGACTCATGTCCTTACAAGAAGAGGAAGAGACACAAGGAATCTCTATATATATGTAGAGAAAAAGCCATGTGAAGACACATTGAAAAGGTAGCTCTCTCTAATCTAGGAAGAGAAGCCTCACCAGAAACCAGTGCTGCTGGCATTTTGACCTAGGACTTTGTAGGAGTGCTGACAATACCTACTCTTACCTTTTGCCTTCCATCTTGTTCTTGTCTGCACAATGACCTCCCACAGGGCTACATGTTCCAGGCCCATTGGAGGTTAATATATACTCTAGATGGAATGAGGGAAGGCTTACTCTGATTATCCTTCTGGTGTAGAGATTGCATCACCACTTTTTTTTTTTTAAGATTTTTATCCATTCATTCATGAGAGACACATAGAAGCAGGCTCCCTATGCGGAGCCTGATGTAGGACTTGATCTCAGGACCTAGGGATCACGACCTGAGCTGAAGGCAGACACTCAACGACTGAGCCATCCAGGTACCCCTAGACTGCACCACTTCAGATAACGTAGTAGAGATCCCACTGGCATACAGATGATGCTAATTTAGATAACTACCTTTTGACCTCACCACAATGATATCCCGCCCAAACTCCCCACCACTGCTCTATAAATTCTGTAGATTAAGGTCTGGACTTTGTGGAAAATAGCTGCAAAGTGCCAAGATCATCTGTCCACCCAATCCCCCTTTCAGTAAATTGTCCTGAATAAAAAACTGTAAACAGTATGTAGTGGCTTTGATTTTTGGTCTCAAAGTGCCTTCTCAGTCCAGAGCATATTTTACTGCCCCTCCTCCACCTTCTAATAGACTTCTGCCCTCCAGAACTGTGAGAACATAAATTTCTGTTAAGCTGCCCAGTCTGTGGTCTTTTGTTAAGGCATCCTGAGCTGTCTGATATGTATAATATTTTAAAAAAACAAAACTGACAATATGGGGCACCTATGATGCTCCATTGCTTAAACACCTGACTCTTGATTTCAGCTCAGGTTTTGATCTCAGGGTCATGAGTTTAAGCCCCATGTTGGGCTCCACACCCAACATGGAGTGCGTACTTAAATACGTACATCCATCCATCCATACATACATATCTCAAAATAAATGTTTGTGAGGATGTGGAGAAATTGGAACCCTTGAGCATTGTTTGTGGAAATATAAAATGCCACAGCCACTATGGAAAACACTTGTCATTTTCTCAAAAGATTAAAACATACAATTACCATATGAGCCAGCAATTCCACCTCTAGGTATGTAGAGATGGAACTGAAAAGAGCTGAAAAGGGGGAGTTGAACAAACAGTTTTATGTCCATGTTTATAGAAGTATTATTCATAACAACCAAAAGATGAAAACAACCCATGTCCATTAACAGATTATAGCATAAACACAGTATGGTATATACATGCAATGGAATATTATTCAACCATATAAAAGAATGAAAGTTTAATTTATGCAGCAACAACACAGATGGACCTTGAAAACACGCTTAATGAAATAAGTCACACTGAGTAGGGTAAATATAGTATGATCCCACTTGTATGTGAGATACCCTGAACAGTCAAGTTTAAAGAGAGAAAGTAGAATAGAGGTTATTGGGGGCTGAGGGGAGGAAGAAAAGCCTAATTATTGTTTAATGGAGTTGTAAAGTCCATAAACTGGGGATGATAAAGAAGTTTTAGGTATAGATAGTGGTGATAGTTACATATTATTGTGAATATTTAATGCAGTTGAAGAGTAAGCATGCTTACAAATGGTTAAAATTCTAAATATCGTATATATTTTACCATACATGCAGACATGCACACACAAACTCCTTAAAAAAAAAAAGCACCACTGATTTTATTAGAAAAGTCTTTAAGTATTAGTGTAAACTATCAGGCTCATGGTTACAAATACAAAGTTTCCAAAATTGGAATGTTTGTATGAAAGCTGTTTTCTTTGACATTATGGATTCATTTTGTTCATTTACAAGGAAATGTCTAACACAAAATGAAGTCTGAATAACCATAATTCATTTGTTGTTTTCTAATTAAAAATTATGTCCCATGAAAAAATCAACTAGGTCCACTCACAACTTTATTACACAAGTGCTTTGACTTTAGATAATTGTCTCAGTTCAAGCTGCTATAGCACACATGCCATAATTTAAACAACAAATTTATTTCTCACAGTTCCAGGATAAAGGTCCCAAAAGATCAGTATCTGGTTGAGGGCCTGCTTTGCAGAGGACTCTCTTCTTGTATCCCCACATGGCAAATAGCAGAAAGAAAGCAGCAAGCTATCCTATGTTTCTTTTTATAAGGGCACTTACCGTACTCATCAGAATTCTACCCTCATGACTTAATTACCTCCTAATACCATTATATTAGGGGCTAGGAATTCAACAAACAGTCCATAAAAATACCCATTGTACTTTGATAATGCTGCAAAAGTCCTTTATGCTTTCATTGCATTTTTTAAAAGATTTTATTTATTTGAGGGAGGGAGAGCATGGAAGGAGGTGGGGAGAAGCAGAGGGAGAAGGACAAGTGGACTCTGAGCTGAGCATGGAGCCTTACTCGGGGGCTAAATCCCAGGACCCCAAGACCATGACTCAAGCTGAAACCAAGAGTTGGATGCTTAACTAAGTGAGCCACCCAGGCATGCCCACCATTTATTTTCTTTAAGATATTATTTATTTATTCATGAGAGACATATATATAGAGAGAGAGGCAGAGACATAGGCAGAGAGAGAAGCATACTCCGTGCAGGGAGCCTGATGCGATCCAGGACTAAAGGATCACATCCTGGGCAGAAGGCAGGCAGTAAACCGCTGAGCCACCCTGGGGTCCCCCTGCCATTTTTTAAAAATTGTGATTAAAAAGCACACGCAAAAAATACCATTTTAACCATTTTTAAGTGTACAGTTCTGTAGTATTAAGTATATTCACATTGTTGTGAAACATTTCCAGAACTTTCTCATTTTGCAAAACTAAAGCTTTTGTCCCATTTTGTCACATACAATAAGACCAGTACTTAAGGACTGAGATTTCACAAAATTAATTTTTTGCTCCATCAAGGACATCTTAAGTTGAAACAACTGGCATTTTAAAAAATTTGCGTGTGCGTAGCAGTGAATAATATAATCACTAATATCTAAAGTTTGGTACCACTGCCTCCACTTGCATTAGGGGTTTTATACCCAATTGCTTTAGTACTATCAGTACAAATGTGAACACAGTGAAAAGGGCAAATAATACCTTAGTGTTATTGTGAAAATGGTCTTGAGTTGCAAACTTTTTGAAGAGTTCTTGGGAAGCATCCATAGACCACGTGTTGAAAACCACTGATTCAGATCCGTGTCTTAGGAAGATCACTTTGAAAAAAAAAAAACAAAACAAAAAACAAAAAACAGAACAAACACAGGAAGATCACTTTGGTGGTAGGATAGAAGGAGGGAGATTTGAGAAACGAGACCAGTTAGTTTGAGTGAAAGAGGAAGAAAGCCTATATTTGATTAATGAAGTGCAGATAAAAAAGAAGAGATTGATTTAGGAGCTATTTCAGAAGTGGAATTGATGTACAGAATTGCAAGTATGTCTTTGGACTCATGAAATTACTGCCTTTGTACCAGATTTTATTTCTCATTTCCATTTGTCCAGTTTACATCATTTACTTAATTACTCATGAAAATTGAAATTTCTCCAATACCATAGGAAACTAAACTAAACTAATAACGGATCTGGAAGAGGAATAAGCCAGCTATTCAGTTATCTGCTTCTACTTACTACTTTAGTATGGGAATTTATAACCTTGTTCTTTATCAACTTCTGAATATACCTGTGTGTTGAATATAAAAAGTAATTCATACGTAGATCTTTATGTCATTAGTTTAGTTTTAGTCTTTTCCACTGTTCAGACTCAATAACAAATAGCACAAATTGTTTAAACACTTGGTTTAAACACTTGGTTCTTGATATTTCAGTTTGAAGGCTTTTTTCCCCCCTCCTCAAACAGCAGTTCAAATGCTTCACCTTCAGAAGGTGCACCACTAGTAGGAGGTTATGGATGTACTCCTCATTCATTCCCAAAGTTCCAGCACCCTTCTCATGAACTTTTGAAGGAAAATGGCTTTACCCAACAAGTGTACCACAAGTATCGTCGAAGATGCCTAAGTGGTAAGATGCTTGTCCTTTGTGTAGCTATGTTTAAAACTAAAATATAATATTTAAAAATGTGATATTTAACATCAGGCTAAGATATTCTTTTATTTTGTTATAATTACCTTAATTACTTATGTATTTCATGTATTTTTGTAGCTTAGCTACATGAAGAAAGTTTAGCATATTCTTCTTACCATTGACAAATGCTTAAATTTGAGCAATGAGTCAGAAAATGGATTCATACTTATCCCTTACTTAGAAGAAACCCAGATACATTTTGGAGATTAATATGTTTTAGCTTTTCTTATTTTAAGCCATGTAAAATGTCTGCTGATTTGACTTTAATAAGTTTCTTTAACAAAAAAAAAATGTTTTATTATTTTAACTTTTCCAGAGAGAAAACGCTTGGGAATTGGCCAGTCCCAAGAAATGAATACCCTCTTTCGTTTCTGGTCCTTTTTCCTCAGAGATCACTTCAATAAAAAAATGTATGAGGAATTTAGACAACTTGCTTGGGAAGATGCAAAAGAAAATTACAGGTCAAATATTTTCTCACATTTTTACATTTAAAGGGAATTTTCAAAAAAATAATTTAAAAACTAGTACTGAAACAGCCCAGTTTTGAACTATGAGGGCAGCATAACGTAACTGGAAAGAGGGCTATATTCGTTTCCTATTGCTGCATAGCAAATTATCCCCAAACTCAGAAGCATTTATTAGTTTACAGTTTCTAAGGGTCAGGACCTTAGGAACAGCTTAGCTGGGTGGTTCTGACTCACAGGTCTCATGTGCAGCCAAGATGTTAGATCAGGCTGCAGCCTCTGAAGACTTGACTTAGGCTGGAGGATCCTCTTCAAGCCTATTCACACGACTGTTGGCAGAAAGCTTTAGTTCTTCACCACATAGGCTTCCTGGTGGGCATTTAACAACATGACTTCATCCAGAGCAAATGATCTAAGAAAGTTGGAGAACTTCCAAGAGGAATCCTTGATGTCTTATATAACCTGTGCTTGCAAGTAACATACCATCACTTCTGCCATATTGTATTATTCACACAGACCAACCCTGGTACCATACCTGATAGGAGGAGACTACCCAAGGTTGTGAATACCAGGAGGTAGGATTATTTGAAACCACCTTGGGGGCTGGCACAAAGGCCAAAAGAAATCTGAAAGAGCCACTAGAGACCTCCCTTGCATATGCATAGATATCCTCCAATTCATAAATACTTAGAGCCAAACTAGTTGTTAAGATGCCTCGAACCAAGAACAAATAAGGCCTCTGATGATATGTCCAGACTCATCTATCAAATCTCATTTTTTTCCTGCTAGTGTGCTGTAGTCTTCTAGGCAACAGTGGTGCAGAACACGTTCTCTGAATGACCCAAGCTCTATCCTCTAGATTTTTCTATATATTCTCATCTCTGCTTATTCTTCTCTTCTTCCTCCTTCTGCTTTGCTAACTCATTCTTTTCATCCAGGTTAGACCTTACTTCTTTGAAAAATGTTCAGGAGAAGTTTTGAGAGTGTCTATATGGTAGAGTTGAAACCAGACTAAAAGGATGAGAAGGATCTTGAAGTGGGCTCATGCAAACTATTTATTCCTGGAAAATAGAGAAAGGAAGAAGAAATGGAAAGAAGAAAAAAAGATAATTTTACACTCCTTGCTTACTCAAATTTACCATTCTTTAAGTTGTAAAAATGGATTCTACTTGTAAATCTTAAATAAGAATATACTGTTAATCAGATATTGTAATCTTTGAGAGGAATACAAGATGCTAGAAATAAATTTTTCTAGAAAAAAATTACATTTTCCCTAATTTATATAAAAATAAAGACTAATTCTCATCCAGAACGTTTATCTTGATTGGGAATGACAGATACATAGTATGTTTACCTCTATTTCTCTCTCTTCTGTTATTACATCTCTAATCAATCCCAGCACTGTTACATGTCCTAGAATTCAGATTTATAGTCTTACAAAAGTTTTAATAGCTGCTTCCAGTTTACCAGAGTTGGCACAAAAGGCAAAATTTGCTATTTCTGATTTTGATATTCTCAAAGTATGATGTGCTACCCATTAGTGGGTTGTGAAGTCAATATAGTAGTTTGAAAAATATCATACTGACAACATACAGTAAGGCTAAATTTTTCACACTTAATACATAAATGCAAATTTAAGAATTGTTTTCAAAACATGTATATGCTTGTATATACACACATACTGTGTTGACTTAGTAACCAGATAAAATATTTTTCTTACTACTGGACTTGGAAAAATTTGAAAGTCATTGTTCTAATTTTAGCATATTTTGCTCTTTTTAAAAACAATTTCAATTTGTTCTTTGACTTTGTAATAACTTTTCTGATATGCCCATGGCTGTCCAAGTCTAGGTTGGGAGTTTTTCTGTGTTCCTATAGTCATCTGTGTATGTTTCTAGTAGCTTTTGAACACATAATTTTGGGTATGTTTCTGCAGTGTTCATGACTAGCCTGGATTAGATGTTCCTTAGGAAGTATAGCACAGTGGTTAAGCATCTGAAGTCTTTGAAATCAGACCTAAATTTGAATCCCAGCCTGTTAACTTACTGTGATCTTGGCAAGATATTATTCCCAATATGCTTAAGGTCATTTATCTATAAAGTGGAGGAAATTATGGTAACTATCCTCATAAGGTTATTGTGAAGATTAAACAAAACAGAACCTGTAAAGGTCTTAACATACTACCTGATACACAGTAAGTGTTCAATAAATTGCGGTTGTTATTAGGAAGAAGATCAATACTAAATCTATCCATTGACTTAACTTAGCAATAAGGTAGTTTCAAGAAAGAAGGAGAAAAATAACCTTTATCATGTATCTTCAATGTGTCAGCTGTGGTCTAAATGCTTTACAAATACTATGTCATCTATTCTTAAAAAGTAGGATATCATTATTCCCATTTTCAGGGATATAATTATAGTCCTAGAATTCAAATACAGTTCTGCTTCTCAGCCTTTATGTTTTCACTCATCTAAGCTGTCTCATAATGAGAGGTAAATGAATAAATAACAACTGAGAGGCTAGCTATTTGCCCCTGATCTTCACTCTAGCAGTTAGGCTGCATAGTTGGGTTGTTATTAATATCATACTTTTGGTCTTTGGAATTGGTTTACTAAAAAATAAGACTAAAAATCCAAATATTGTAGTCGTCTATTGGCCTTTACCAATATAAACTAATATATAACTAATATTAATATAATATCCCATAAAAGAAGTATCAAGGTGATTTGTCATTGCTGAGCTGATGTTCTTTAGTCTTTAGTCCCCTCAGCCTTCAGTCATACAAGCTCAAAGAATAGCATCACTAATGGCTACCAAAGCAAAGAGCTCAGGTCAGTGTGTGGGTGTATAGTTAGTAGTCCTACATCTCTCTTGGTGGCCTGCCAAGAAACCTATTTATTCTTCTGGACAGACCATAACTTTCCATCTTGAAAATAAACTAGCTACAGAAGACACACACACGCACCTTCGTGTGAATAAAAAAAAGCCAGGTAAAATTATGTTACCAGTAATGTCAAGAAAGACTACCAGAAATTGTATTCTTTATTCCTGTAAGGCACCCAGAACAACTTAAGCACTCTGAAGAATCTTTTAATTATGACATGTTTTAATTTAGTAAGCTAGACATGGTCATTTTACTGCTGTCTTGTTGACTTTGTTCATTCTCATGGGTTCTACTCATCACAATTAATTTAAAGGTTGAGCCCATGTAGTTTGCTAATCCCCTGTCCAAAGTCTGTCTTGGGTCCTCTAGGTAGTTAGAGAATAGAAGGAAATTTGTTTTCTGATATATATATAGTAATTAAAATTATTTTAGCAAAATATCTTTTATGAAATATACTTTATGGGACACTTGGGTGGCTCAGTAGTTGGGCATCTTCCTTTGGCCCAGGGCATGATCCTGGAGTCCCTGGATCGAGTCCCGCATTGGGCTCCCGACATGGAGCCTGCTTCTCTCTCTGCCTATGTCTCTACCTCTCTCTCTCTGTGTCTCTCATGAATAAATAAAATCTTTTTAAAAAGTGTACTTTATAACTAAAATAGGGAAGATCTATGAGGAGCCATTTAGTTAGGTTTGTCATTTATAGTTGAATGGATCAAACACACATAGGATCTGGGGCACAACAGTGTAGTCTTTATATTTCTTGAGTGAAGATTGTGTTCAAAAGTGTTTAAAACCATGCACAAACACACCATTATAAACCTTGGTTTGGGAAAACTCAAATATTCCCAGTATCACTAAATCTTTTCAACATTTCTTCACAAATACCAAGGAGAGGGCTCTGTCTAAAGGAGCCATAGTGTATGGGCTGCCTCTCAATTTGCAGGTTCCCAGTATACTTCCATAAGATGCTGTGGTTGAGTGAACAAAAATAGCAAAGTCATCTATGGATTACTAAATAACCACTTAACCTTAAAAAAAAAAACCCTGCACACATTTAAGCCTTTGCGGGGAGGGGCTTATTTATATCATGTTTGCTTGTATCTATGAAATGTTTGCATTGCCATAGCAAAATTTTTACTATAAACCTTCTATTTCCTCTCTTCAGGTATGGATTAGAATGTCTGTTCAGGTTTTATAGTTATGGACTGGAAAAAAAATTCAGACAAGAAATTTTTAAAGATTTCCAAGAAGAAACCAAAAAAGACTACGAATCTGGTAAAACAAAACAAAACCAAAAAAACCAATAGTCTTATTCTATTTGGAAATTGCAAACCTGAGTCACTAAATAGGAAAGGAGTTCATAACTGTTTTCTTCAGAGTAGGTCATTTAAGATCTTCACGCCACTATTAGGGTTCTTGATGAAGGATGGGGCACCATATAGTAAGATCATTCCTGTGAGGTGTTGGAAAATAACCACACCCAAGTGTTTCCATTATAGAGTAGTATTTTGCCATTTTTCCTTTGACAAACGTGATAATACTCACTGATGTTCCATTGCATGAAAATTCTTTGAAACATCAGCAAATATGCTTGGAAAGATGGAATAGTACAGTGGGTAACAGTGCAAGCTTTAGGTGAAATCCATATGTAGGTCTGAATCCCATTTTCACCACTTGGTAGCTGTGTGACCTTGGTTAAGTCACTTAACTGTTAGCCTCAGTTTACTCATCAGTAATATACATAAGAGCACCTACATTACAGGTTTATATATGGTTCAAATTAGTTTAAAATATAAAAACCATTTAATACCTCATATAACAAATGCTTATTACTAAATGTTGCTGCCATTATTACAATGTCTTATTCTCAAAATCTAGATACAATATATGCTGGAAGATAAATGGTTAATTGCTGATAGGCTCATGTTCAATATGAATTGTTTTTAAAATTTTGTATAATATATTGTGTATATTTTTCTTTGTTACTAGGTCAGCTGTATGGATTAGAAAAGTTTTGGGCTTACCTAAAATATTCTCAATCTAAGACACAGTCTATTGACCCAAAACTTCAGGAATACCTCTGTAGCTTTAAGAGGTTAGAAGACTTCCGCATTGATGTAAGTTTTAAGTCCTTTCTTCTGTAGTCTTTTTATTACCTTCATATTTTGAGTTATCACGACTTTCTTTATTTTCACAATTTTTATTTTTTTAACTTTTTATTTTGAAATTATAATTTTCTAGTTTTGAAATTAAACTTTAAAACAGGTGCAGGGCAGCCCAGGTGGCTCAGCAGTTTAGCGCTGCCTTCAGCCCAGGGTGTGATCCTGGAGACCCGGGATCAAGTCCCACACAGGCTCCCTGCATGGAGCCTGCTCCTCCCTCTGCCTGTGTCTCTGCCTCTCTCTCTGTGTCTCTCATGAATAAATAAATAAAATATTTTTAAAATAATAAAAGAGGTGCAAAAATTCCCTTTTACTCTGTTTACCCAGATTTCCCAAATGTTAACATCTTATGTAACCACAGTACAATTGTCAGTTCACTTTAATTTTGATATACCCCTATAATTAAACATTTTGTAGATTTAGTGACTTTGATGTGGATATATTAGTAATTTCTCACTAACAATTCAAAAATTTTTCATTTTCTATGTACTTTTATCCTTTACTTTCATAATATGTGCTGATATAACATGGATTTAGGTTTCTCCACATAATAAAATTAAGATAAGAATGTCATGTTATGTTATGTTAAATATAGAGACAGAAGAGTAAGCCTTAAACAATTTGATTTCAAGAGTAAGAGGAAAGAATTAAAGAATGAGATGAAAATAAGAAAAAGGAAAAGAAAGAAAAATAAGAGTCAAAAGAACAGAAAAGAGAGAGGTGAAAGGAATGCTAGGTCCATCTCTGGTTAGTATTGTAATTTGTGTTATATTTTGTATAAATAGTCTTGATAGCCCAGGAACAGAATTAATAGAAGTGCCTGTCTCTGGAATCAAGATGTTTCTAAGAGTGGCCTCGCCATTTCTGTCACAAAGACATCCTTGCTCTATAAATAGTGACTTTTACCCTTTTACCCTATCTGAACAGAAGTTAAGAATTCAGGCCTCTGCTTTTAAATACAGTGGAAGATTGGAAAAAGGAGGCTACGGTCTTAACTTGTTTTCAGATGAAAATAGTCTGGTGGTTATAGCTGTGGGCTCCCAAGTCTGGAAAGACCTTGCACCTGGAAAGTCCTTACAAGCTGACTGTTTCTGAGTGCAGAATACATTATCACTGCCTACCCTGTCCTTGCTTGCAATCTGAGAGGATTTGGGAGCTTAATGGATATTTATTTGAAAATGTTTAAAATTAGTACCATCAGTAATGCTTTCCACTCTCCTTATCCTAGAAATCCTAGATAAACCTTCAGACTCACTAAAGATATTTGACTTGGTATCTTTTCTCTCTCTGCTGCTTTCATTTATTTGTTAAACTATCATTCAAACAAGTCTAGGATAAGAGTTTAGGGTTGGAAGGGACTAGAGTTATAAGTGCTTTGCAGTTGAGAAGTTGAAAAAAGAAGGAAAATAGACTCTTTGAAACATTTTCTTGGAGGCAGGGAACCCAGCCTTATATTTATGCCCTGAATGCAGCTCAAGCCCTAAAACATACGAGAATCTTAGTAAACATGTTAACTGGGGACGTGATCCTGGGGACCCAAGACCGAGTCCCACATCAGGCTCCCTGCATGGAGCCTGCTTCTCCCTCTGCCTGTGTCTCGGCCTTTCTCTCTCTCTCTCTTTCATCAATCAATAAATAAAATCTTAAAAAAAAAAAAAAAATGTTGGGCAGCCTGGTGGCTCAGTGGTTTAGCGCCGCCTTCAGCCCAGGACGTGATCCTGGAGACCCAGAATCGAGTCCTATGTCGGGCTCCCTGCATGGAGCCTGCTTCTCCCTCTGCCTGTGTCTCTGCCTCTCTCTCTCTCTCTCTCTCATTCTGTCTCTGTGTGTCTCTCATGAATAAATAAATAAGACCTTTTTTAAAAAAAATGTTAACTGAAAGAATGAACAAATATAGGTGATTTAGTTGAGAAAATTTAATACCTTGAATTGCTGCGAAGTTTTTTTTTTCTTTTTTTTTTTTAATTTTTATTTATTTATGATAGTCACAGAGAGAGAGAGAGAGAGGCAGAGACACAGGCAGAGGGAGAAGCAGGGAGCCCGACATAGGACTCGATTCTGGGTCTCCAGGATCACGCCCTGGGCCAAAGGCAGGCGCCAAACCGCTGCGCCACCCAGGGATCCCCTGCTGCGAAGTTTTTGTTATACTAATAGAATCTACTGAAATGCCAACATAGTTTCCATCTTTTTGAAAAAGTCTGACCTTAGATTTTGAGGGCAGGGAAAATAGTAAAATTGTCACTATATTGTCTTTCATATTTTGCAGCCCCCGATTAGTGAGGAATTTGGAAGAAAAAGACATTCATCTACTTCTGGTGAGGACAGTAGTCGTCATAGACTTCCATCTAATTCCTCTGCAAAGCCACCAAATGCTGCTAAGCGTACATCTGCTAATCAGCTTCAGGTCCCAATAAACTGTCCCAGAAGGAATACTTCCCAGGAGTCCAGTGACAATTCACACCAGAACAGTGCTGCCTCAGTCTCAACAGATGGTGAAATGCCTGAGAAATAGACTCTTATGAAAGTTGTTTGCCCTTGAAATCAACATTTACATCAGTATTTATTTGGGGAAAATCTTCTGATGTTTGATTGTGATAATCACAAAAAAGAAAAAGGAAGAAAAGCGGTAGCATTTTTTTCTAACAAGATAAATTCTGAAAACTCATTTTCCCTGATGTCATGAGCAAGGATAGTTTTGGTGACCTTTTATAGAGATCCTCTAGTAATGTATTTTGGTTTCAGTATTTCTTTTTCAAAGCAATTGTTTATAAGAACAGCATTCCTTAAATATATAGAAAAACAATGCAAGGAATGCCTAAACATTTCAGCTCATACTTCTTAAAGAAGATATAGTATGTTGTATTCATCTCTTCTATAGAGCTTTCCTAAAGAATCCAATTACCCTGTTATCAATTCATATTTGAACTTATCAAAAACAAAGGAAGATTACGTATATATTTTTTAAATTCAAAAAAAATACATTTGCTCTTCTTTTAGACCAATAGCTTAAGGAAATTTTTTTTTTTTTACCAAACTAGAACTATATTGCAGTTAAATTGAAGTATGAAATATGTGCACTTTGGATGCTGGGTTTGGCTTTTTTCCTCCTCTAGTCATACCTCATGATTTCCATAGTTATTGTTGTGCTAGTGTGGAATGTTCTGAATTGACATCAGCTGGTTACATATTAGAAGAGATTTACTTTTTGTGGCTCTATAATAAACATGCACAAGTAATTGAAAACTGGGTTGGGATTGGTTGGAATTTTGTTCTAAATCAATTAAATCTTGCCCTGTTTCTAATGCATCTTCTGTTTGTACATTTGCAGGTGGGTATGACAGGTAGTCAGATTATCTTCAGCTTAAAAGTAGTACTTGGTTTTTCCTTTCTGTTTCTTTTAGTTTTGTTTTATGCTCATGTTTTCAAGAGTTATAGCAAATTGATTTCTGATTTTTATTGCTCTTGCAACTGATGTAAATGATAGTTTCAGTTTTTGTGGGAATTAAAAAAATAAAGCACTTATTCTAAATTATTGGAATTGATTTTTAATTATTTTGTTTAGAATATAGTTGAAAGCTGTAATATTCAAATTCTGCTAGTAGAAGACTATTATATTTTGTGAAGGAAGTTCCAGTTATAAATTTATCCGTTTATATTTACCGCGTGTATTTTCTTGGCAGAGCAGCTAGTTTAATACACTAAATTATTATTTTCTCTTTGATGTCTTGTTCTTATGGGATGACAACATCGAAATACATACAATCTTTGGATAAATGGACTATTAATCAGGAAAAAAGATTTTCATTAGTTGTTACCCATGCATAAGTGATAATCTATAGTTTAATATTTGGGGGTCATTTTGATGTGGTAATTTTAAGAAATAGTCAAATTTGAATATTTAGAAAATAAATTTTACTTAGAGATGTTGAGAAAAGAATGCAAAACAAGGGATTAGAATAATAAATTTCTAGATGTTTTCTTAAGTGGATATGTAGTTCTGGCTTTTCACTGAGAAGTTTCCAAATCATACTTACTAGCTTTAATGCGGTTTCTTGAAATGATCTAAAGAATTTTCTCAGTATCCTTTTTGTATTGAACACATACATCTGAAACTTGTGTTTAAGATTATTTCTACTCACCTAAATATGCAAGTGTAAATTTGATTTGAAAATTGTATATTTTATATGAAAATACGGTAATCAAGAGTTTTGTGATATGTAATAATTAGAAATTTTATCATTATTTTGATTATAAAAGTAATACATGTAACTGAGGGATTTAGAAAAGCACAAAGAAGAAAATAAAGTACCTTTTTAAAAAAGAAAAAACCAAAATTGGTATCATGCTATACATAGAGTGTTATAACCTGCTTTTCCACATACTAAAGGTGAGCATTTACCGATGTCATTAATATTTCTACACTAGGACTTTTACAAGTTACATAATATTCCAGCATATACTTCACATCACATCATAGTTTATACTCCTCTGTTGAATTTTAGCATGTGGCCGAGTTTAAGCTGTTAAACACCAATTTAATCATATCCCTACAGGTAGATCTTTGTGTATATATCAAATCAGAGTTGGAGGGAAGTTCATAATATGCCACTTCACTTTTATGAAAGATTTACATGTATAGTAATGGTTTTTGTTGTTAAAGTGAAAATCCTCTTTGGAGGTCTTTTACTAAAAACAGGTATTAAGGTAGTCTTTTGTGAAAGCAAAGTGGTGCAATGAGGACTTGATACTTTTTAAGAAGTGGGGAGGATACTTCTTTTTAAGTCATTTCAGCTTATGAAAGATTTCTTAAGAACACTACTTGGGGGCAGCCCGGGTGGCACAGCGGTTTAGCGCCGCCTGCAGCCCAGGGCGGGATCCTGGAGACTCGGGATCGAGTCCAGCATCGGGCTCCCTGCATAGAGCCTGCTTCTCCCTCTGCCTGTGTCTCTGCCTCTTTCTTTAGCTGTGTCTCTATGAATAAATAAAATCTTAAATAAAAAAAAAAGAACACTACTAGGGATACCTGGGTGGCTCAGTGGTTGAGCATCTACCTTGACTTACCTTGTGATCCCCCGGGCCCTGGGATCGAGTCCCACATCAGGTTCCCCACAGGTAGCCTGCTTCTCCCTCTGCCTGGTGTCTCTGCCTGTGTCTCTGCCTCTCTCTCTCTCTCTCTCTGTCTCTCTCTCTCTCTCTCTGTCTCTCATGAATAAATACATAAATAATAAAAAATTTAAAGCCACACTCTACTTCAGGCAGAGTCTTGAGTGGCTCAGTCAGTTAAGTGACTGTCTTCCACTCAGGTCATGACCCCCAGGTCCTGGGATGGAGTGAGCCTCCCTGCTCAGTGGGGAATCGGTTTCTCCCTCTCCTTCTGCCTCTTGTTCTCTATCTCTCTCTCAAATAAATATATAAGTAAAACCTTTTTAAAAAAGAACACTCTACTTCCAGATAGCAGGGGAAACCTGTGTTGCTAGTATAAATTCCTAGGAGTTGAAATTCCAAGTAAACATGTATTCCCATTTAACACACTCAGAATGGTTGCACAGTTTATATTTCCCCAACAGCACCTGCTTTCCTACATCTTCACCAACACTGGTTATTATAAATCTTTCTCTTTGATAGATTGAGAAACAAAAAAATACTATTTTAATGTTATTAATGTCATTTAAATGAGGATACTAATGAGTGGTAATTTTTATTATTAACCATATTATTTATAGATGGCTTGATCATATCCTTTATGTCTTCCTTCTGTGATTATCTTTCTCTGATTGATTCATAGAGCTTTTTTGCTTATCAAAAACATTAGTCCTTTGCTTTCTAATATTGTTTCTGTACATTTCACATGGTATGTATATTTTTTGGTAAAATTTTTAAATAATTAACTCCTTAAATTTTAACTGTAAAATTCAAGCAAAAGAAGCATTATTATTCAACGAAAACACAATTGACTATACATCTAAATAGCCCTACCCAAAATTTATGTAAGTCTTTAGGAACCTTAGATGCTTCCTTATGATTTTGTAGTTTTCAATTTTATAAGTAAAAAAAGGCAATGTTAATATTATTTAAATCCACACTACTTATTTTTTAAAGAAATTGGTGAGGTCATATTTAGAATTCTTTATACTGAAAGTACAAGGAAGAAAGTCATGTTTTAAAATCCGTATTTTAGGGATCCCTGGGTGGCGCAGCGGTTTAGCGCCTGCCTTTGGCCCGGGGCGCGATCCTGGAGGCCCGGGATCGAATCTCACATCGGGCTCCCGGTGCATGGAGCCTGCTTCTCCATCTGTCTATGTCTCTGCCTCTCTCTCTCTCTATCTGTGTGACTATCATAAATTAAAAAAAAATAAAATAAAATCCGTATTTTAGATTTTAAAATAGATTTTATGTTTTAAACTTGTTTTGCCAGTTTGGGACTCCGCTCTGACATTTCTCCTTGACTTCTTTCTCTGATATGCTCCTCCTTCCATTATATTAAATAATGTTACCACTTTCCTTTCTGTGCTTAAATCTTGTCTTTCAATTAATTTTTTAGTTCTTATGAAACTGCTTATTTTTATTGCATAGGAGACTGATCCAATAGAGAATAATGCCTAATTATATCACCACTAGATGGCAGAATGGAATAAGTCAAATCTAGTCTTTCCACAGAAGTGTGTGTGCGTGTGTGTGTGTGTGTGTGTGTGTGTGTGAACTCTCACTCCATCTTGTGGTGACATATAATTAAATCAATTACTCTTGCATTCCTAATAGTCATATGTGTCTCAACAACTCATGATTACCTTGTTAGGGCAATGCCAAACTGTGCTTAGTTATTAGTAAATAAATATAGTTAACATTTAAGATTTGTGTATTGTTAAAGATAAAAATACTATTGCTTTGTGTTTTTGTCCTTTTAAAGTTGGAAATGCTTCATTAGTGTTATGTCTGATTAAATCTCAAGATGTAAACAAGAAAATTGTAAGATATGTATGTTTAATTGTCTGGCTAACCTAAGCGGTACAATTAAATCACACAGCAAGTTAGGGAATTGATCCTGCCTGAAACATGAAAAAATTAGATGTTACTCTTATAACTAGAGCAAATTGTTATCACACAGCTAGTTGAATTGCAGAGCAAGAATTTGAGCTTAAGTTTGGCTCTAGACTCCAAGCTCTTTATCTTAACCAGACATTTTTTTTTTAACCTACTGAAGCACCATTTAATAGAGTGCTATATGGTAACTCCTCTTTTGGGAGAAAATCATGATTAGGGAACAATATCATTTATGCACTTAAATGTTTTCTCAGAATTAGGTATGGTAAATAAAAACTAAACTGAACATTTTATCCAGAACATGATTCTAAATTTTATATTACCTTAGGGTTACTGTCAACTAACAATACTACAGTGTTCTTAGATAATGGTATGTTAGTCATGATGGAAATATGCCACACAATTAATTACAGGAAGCACCTCTGACTTATTACTTTACAAGTTTTCTTAATTCTATACAATGAGTTTTTTTTTTTTAACGTGGCCAATTAAGACATGATTTCATTAATAGAATGGTTTCTACCAATGTACTATACATATCTGCTTCAGTAAAAAAAAAAAAAAAAAAAAAAGGCAGAATGTGCTCTTTGTTGTTTTTAATTTAGGTAGTATTCCAGGTCTACAAAATTGAATAACTTTCTCGATGTATTGTGAGGTGTTTTTTTGTTTTGTTTTGTTTTGTTTTTATTTTATTTATTTGAGAAAATGTGCACGCACAAGCACACACCCTCAAGCAAGAGCACCAGCGAGGGGAGGGGCAGAGGAACAAGCAGACTCCCTGCTGAGCAGGGAACTCCATCCCAGTTGCCCTGAGGTCATGACCTGATGCTTGAGTCACTGAGCCACCCAGGAGCCCGCTCAGTGTGTTTTAAGATATGTTAGACTTGGGGCACCCTGGTGGCTCAGTCCATTAAGTGTCTGCCTTCGGCTTAGGTCATGATCCTGGAGTCTCCCAGTAGAGCCCAGTATCAGGCTCCAGGCGCAGTTCAGAGTCTGCTTCTCCCTCTGTCCCTTACGCTGCTCATGCTCTCTCTCTCTCTTGCTCTCCCTGTCTCTCAAATACATAAATAAAGTCTTTAAAAAAATAGATACATTAGACTTTGGGGTGCCTGGGTGGCTCGGTTGTTTAAGTACCAAACTCTTGATTTCAATTCAGGTCATGATCTCAGGGTCATGCAGTGGAGCTCCATGTTGGGCTTTGTGCTAGTCATGGAGCCTGCTTAAGATTTTCTCTCTGCCCACTTGCTCATGTGCTCTCTCGCTCTGTCTCTCAAAAAAAAAAAAAAAAAAAAAAAAAAAAAAGATACATTAGACTTTCATTACAACATAATCATGGTACTGTAGTGTTTAATGTTTAAATGCTCTGGTTTCCAGTTGAATGCCAGTATAATCTAAGAGGAGACTACCTTTTTTTTTTTCTTTAAAGATTTTATTTATTCATGAGAGACGCGGGTTGAGAGAGAGAGGCAGAGGGAGAAGCAGGCTCCATGCAGGGAGCCCGACATGGGACTCGATCTTGGATCTCTAGGATCAGGCCCCGGGGTGAAGGCAGTGCTAAATCGCTGAGTCACCAGGGCTCCCCAAGACAACCTTTTATGAGTTGATAGAAAGGCTTTGAGAGGTGGAGGGTCTGTGAGACCCCCAAATTTAGCATGTATAATTTTATATACTTACAAGTTCTTATGGGGAGATAATCCGTAGCTTTGATCAGATTCCTACCAGGATTTATGAAGCCACATAAGTATAGTAACCACTATTCTAGAGATGACTTACTAGAAACGTGAATTGAATCCTGAGTCACGTAAGTTCAATCCTTCATCTACAAAATTGCATTTACTCTGAGTGTTATAAAGATTAAACGTAAAGCATTTAACACTGCATCTGTTAAAGCCCTTTTTAAACACTAGCTATTATTAGGGCTAAGCACTGGACAAGTAATCTTCAGGATTGTAAAGATATTTTCTCCAATAGGCTATGAATATTTTGAATCTCATGTGAATTTAATCTCAAAACAGTAAGAAAAGTCATATTCCTTTTAATTTTGTTGTCCTGGGGTAATGAGATTATGGACACTTTTCTGTCCTTGTGGTGGCTCACTTACTTCAATAGAGGTAGTAGGGTGCTTAGATGCTATTTCTATTGACTCAAAACAACTGGCAAGGGCATGAATTCCATGAATTGGTCACCAGGTCTTGAATCTGAGTTATGATATGGTTTCACTTTTAGTTCTCTACTCTTATTTATTAATAATTTTGCT